GATGTGACTGAGACTGTACAAAATCATTATTTACTAAATAGTCCACCATATATATGTGTCTCAATTCTTACTGTGAGATATCCACTATATACACAGTGCCCTCAAAGAAAAAGGCAATGGGCACTTGGGCAGTAATATCCGCTGCTAAACAAATCTACATTGCAATCTCATTTTCTAGATGCAATAATTACAGTCAAGCAATTTATAAGTGATTGAGAAAATGAGGGGGATTAAAAAGTGTATTCTATCAGTTGATTGCTCACTAAAGAGTTAAACACTGTATTAGTGTTTGATATATTATATATATATTTAGTGAGTAGGTGAGGAGAGTTTTTAAGGACCCTTTAGAGACGCAACTGTCAATCAAATCCGCTCAAAGCACACCCACACAGTCCTGAAGATGCAGATTTGTTAAATTCTCATTTGACTGTATAGAGAACCAAGTGTTCTTTCTACATGTGTGTCTTATGTCCATGTGTGCCTACAGTCTGTTAAATCAGTGCCATTATGAGCGGGAAATAAAAGCAGACAGCTTTGGGTCGCATATTTATCCTGTGTGTGATGATCGTAACATATGGAAAGGATGCTAATTAAAACATAGCAGCTAAGGTAACAGATGGATTTGTTGTGGCATCAACACGCTGAAGAGGATAAATGATTTCAAGACAAAAGCAAACACAGGATATAAAGCTGGATTTAAGGGCTAATTACTGGTTGGTTTGTTCTTTACTGCTGCTTTCGACTGTCTCCGGGAATCCAGCAATAATATCATCTTTTATGTTTGTTTTATTGTGCTCTTAGCTCTGAATAGTGTTGCAGAAATGCACGCCTTAACGATGTTGTTGCTCAGTTGTGTTGTGATATTAACACTGATACATTGCTGGGCTTTCTGTTGTGCAGAGTAGACTTTCACTTAACTTATAATGTTCTTATGTTTATGTTAGCTAACAATATGTTGACAGTGTCTCCTTTTTTCAGCATTCATTGAACTTTTGTTTGAGTGCTAGTTGTTGATAGTAGAGGTGATATTGTGGAATGTGGAATTTAGCTTTTAGCATTTTACAAAATATTGTTTTGGATCCCAAATGACCAACTGACAACTGTGTCCAGGTGCATCTTTTCATTACTCAGGAGCATTGACTGTACCTAGCTGCTTTTCCCTAATACTCATCTTTACTTTACAAATAAACCGCACAGCTCAGCGACCTGTTACCACTGTCCTTTGGAGATACAATGAGTAATCCGATTGGGTAAGCAAATTAGAAAACATATGGTTGACTAATCTACATTGCAGTATATCAAGATGCTGATTCTTGTTTTTGTGTAGAGATGATGCCCAATCTGCCCGGGATGAAGAAGACTGTGAAGGTGAGTTGCTCTGCTTGAAGATTAAGGCCCAGTTGGAGGATTTGTTCACCGACAGCCACCTGGCCGAGGACGGCTTCCTGCTGAAACATGTGCAGAAGAACAAGCAGGGCTTCGTCAGCCTCAAGCTCCTCACTTGTCTGAAAAAGGTAAAATCATGTTAGTTAATTGCAAGGTTTCAGTTGCTTTCTGCTATGTTTACAGTCCAGTAAAAAAGCAAACAAAGCTGAGGTTGCTGTTGTTTGTTGCAGATAAAGGTCCTGACCACAAACTGGTACATGACTCTGGCAGGAGCAGAGTACTCCGAGCTCCTGGAGGTGAACGATGAAGGCACCAAAGTGAGGCGGATGGAACCGCTTCCCAAGAGGCTGCTGTGTTCCCCCACCAGCAAGCTGCTCCTCGCCTGGAACTCTTCTGTGGAGAATTCAACCGGAGACAATGGATCAACCCAAGGCCTGGAGCAGGCTTTCCTCTCAAAGAGCATCCTCCAGAAGTTCAGCGCCCATGGCGGGATTATTTCATCCTGGATCCTGCATGCTGGCGAGGAGCTTCCCAAGGAGCTGCAGTGCTACGCCAAGCGCCACAAAGAGCTCGGCCAACAACTGTGTGTAGTGGTGAAGTTTAATCATTTGGAGGAAGTTCGTAAGGCCTACAGCGCCCTGAAAGCAGAGGAGGAGAAGTCTGGCGGTGACGGCATACATGTGGTGCCTTTGGGATTCCAATCGAGGCACCACATCAACAGGAGGGAATCATCAGAGGGAACCAACGAGGTCAGACCTGAGGACACACCTTCCCAGGAAAATAATCATCAAACCCCAGAGGATTCAGTCAAGGAGGACAAAACATCCCAGCCCCAGAAGTCTGTGGAAAACTCTGTGCAAAGAACCTTGGAGCAGATCTCCAGCAACTGGAACAGCAAGTCCCTCTCCGGTCCGAATCCGAGGCACAGCAAGAGGAACTGGTGCTCTGGAGACGGTGACGCAGAGAGCTCTCAGAGCCCCTGGGTGCTGAGGCGCAAATTTGCAGCCAGTGTATTAAACCCCAAGGTGGCGCTGCACATGAACGCGCACTGCCTGATGCAGACGGTGGTCCGTCAGCCCCTCGGGCCCGACAGCACCAAGGGCTTTCAGAGCAGAAGGAGGCCGCTGCAGCAGGGGGAACGCAAACTCTCTCTGGGAAGCAGAAAGACCACCTGTGCAGATTAACAGAACAATGCAGCATCAACACGCTACTACATTTGATATGCTGATGAAAGAAATAAATATTTTTTGTATTAAACTGAAAAGGCTATTTACTTTTTGGTGTCTCTCCTGGTGAGGGACTATTTATTCTGTGTTGCATGTAGTTGTAATCCACTGACAGATGAGGGCAGCATTAGGCTGTGTTCACAGCTGTGTTATTTTAAACACTCACTCTGTCCTTGTCATGTAGGAAGTAAATGCACTGCAAGGACTGTCAATAGACTACAACACATTTTAGCTGAAGGTACAAATTGTTGCACAAACTGAGGTGTTTAAGCGCTGACGAAAAGTGTCTGAGAGTTCACACACACTGATTTCTTTAATCACCTCTGGCGTCTGCACTGCTGGGGCCTCAGCTGGTCACATCTGCAAATTGCAATGTATATTTGTTCTTGGGTCAGGCTGGATTTACCTTGTTACCACTTTCTCACAGAAAGAAGTGGTTATTTCATCGTGAAAAAAAGCCTTCATTGTCCCATTGCATCTTTGTCACAAATGCCTGTTTAGATTATGGTTCTCTAAAAAGTCGTTTTCCTTTCTGTGAGATGACATTTGGCTGACGGCTACTTGTCCAATCATCAAACCACATCTTGCGCAAGACGAGCGGAGTAGCAACATTTGAGCCTTATTTCCAGGCTTTCTAATGACACCTCGACTGGAATGGTGTGTTTATAGTGTTACTGATTGAGGGCTTCCTTAAAATCTTGCCCAAACCTAAACAAAATGTGTTTCTTCACTCATCCACACCCAGTGGAAAAGATTCAATCCGATGTGTATGGGATTCTATCACGTTCAAATTGGAAACATACTCTGCTGTATTTCTTCTTTTTGTTTATACTGAACGTCAGACTGTCTTCATGACTAATGTAATCTGAGCTGTTGAGTGAGACATTGCATTGTATACAGATCAAGTGTAGCCCTCCTATTGTCTCTGACTCCATTTAGCAATTAACAGCTGTTGGACTTTTATTGTAGCGAAGGCTGGTCTAAGAAAACGTTACACATCTGTGAACAATATGTATAGAGAAGAAATGTTCCTGCCCCATGTCAGGAAATGTTTCTGTGCTGATAGTTCCTGTTCAAGGCTACGAAAGCACGATATCCCCTGCGAACAGCGAGTTAGTGCTTTTATGTGGGCTCCTACCGCCAATAATCAAGATGAATGTCAAACAAGTTCAACGTCATTCTCATGTTTCTCGGGGAGAGGGTCGTCATGATTTTGCACCTGCTGACTAAAATACTTTTGCGGTGAAGAAGAAGAGCACAACTATTATTTTGATTTGTTGGGCGCTGAAAGGGCTAAGTGGAAAGTTTTGGTTGGCTTCGCCTCAAACTTTAAATGAAATGTACACTTGAGATAACAACCGTAGAAATGATCCATCAATACTCACATGTTGGCATGAGACAAAGCTCAGATAAATCACTTTGTTTCTCAGTCCACACTGAGGGGTTTAAACTCTGAGAAACTTAGCTCTTGGCCACATCTCTTCCTCTTCAGTGGATCTTTGCATAGCGTGATTTGTGTATAATTTGGCCCGAGGATATCAGAATGACTCATAGCATGAGAATGAGATGTTTGTGAGCAAATAATACGTTTCCTGTTGGGACTCTAGCAGAAATAGCTGCTGTATTTCAATATCTTTGGCTGTGGACCCAATTGTGAAACCATCCATTCTGGTTAGATCAACATTGTACCTGTACATTTATTGACTGCTTTATTCTACCAAACAGCATATGTAAGACTCTATGTATCTCCCTGGTCGCCTCCCTAGTCCCTACCTCATGAAGGGCTTCACTTGTCTCAAAAATGGCTGGCTTTTGTTTACACACACCTGACGCATTTCCCCCCTGGATGGGGAGTTTATTTAGATTGCAGTCTGGAGTGCCTGATACCTTCAAAAGCACAACCATCTGCTCCTCATTTGCCGCTCAGGGCTCAAAGGCTAAAAAACCGTTTCGTATTGGAGGCGACGTGAACCTGAGATTTTCAACAACAACACCCTGGGTTTTATCTCAAGCCAACCGTAGATTGAATTATCATGAAATACCTCCACTGTGATAATTCCATTTAACTGGCGTTAGTGTTGTCTTAGCAGCATTTAAACCAATTGTGCACTTTCTTAATTCCCCCTAAAAGATTGGAAAACACTTGCTTCTGCAGACCCTTCTGATCTCAATTGAGGCTATTACCAATCTCCCACTTAAGATGGCAGACTCTTTTGCGGCAGAAGGTAAATGTAAGCCCTTGCTCAGGCCAAAGCATCCTTTAGTGCTCCTGGAGCTAGAGCCAGGGAGATTATCATGTCAGGAGTAATCCGACTCGGCCCACAAGCACAACTATGGAGGAGGAGGAGCAACAGTTGAGGGGGGGAGGCAGGAGGCAGAGGCATCAGAGAAGCTCTCTGCTCCACTTACGGTAACCACGCTCTCCCTCCTCAACCTAACCCATCTTCTCCACCCGCAGACTTTCCCTCCCTGGAGCTGAAGAGAAGACCTGCTGCAGGCATAGGGGTAAGGACATGTGCATTATCTTTCCGATTGCTGTTGTTTGGAGATCAAATGATCAGGGTTGTTGAAGTGGTAGGAGTTTCACAACAGATGGGAAAGAAGTTAAGGCATCTGTAAAATCTCTTCATGACATGACACTGTGTTGCTCTGTCTTTTTTCAGGTTCAGGGTTGTGCAAAAAGAAGGATCAGATGATCTTCGTGAAGAAACATGGTAACAGAAGTTCTCTGAAGTGAACCAGATGGCAAGTCGGGGACTCCTCTGAAGACCCAACTCTCCTTTTTTGTGAATGAATCATCCTGAGTGCCATGAGGCGCATGATTACATTCAGAGGAATGTCGATCTTGATCTTAAAGATTTCGAATGAAATGCAGATATGATAAAAGAATAATACAATCTGGACCTGAATCAAGCGCGGACACCTCCCTACTAGCAGGCACAGGGAGCTGTGATGATTTTCTGGGGAACGAGCAGGAGTGCAGCTCCTCGCCTGTGATGATGATGGATTTACCCAGCCAACACTTGCCTGTGGAGGTCAGCTGAAGACGACGCCACGCAGCTAAGTCTGGATTAGCCGGCCGAACGGTAAGGACACCACATCTTCTTTTGTTGGTTTAAGCCGGCAGATTATGGGGAAGGCGTTAGAAGCCGCTGACAGAGATGCCTCACCAGACGCTTGAGTGGCAGAAAACACATGTTGGATTATCTGTATCAACAAGCGGGCCTTCGCTGGAAACGCTTGTCAATAGAGCAGAGCTGCCTGTCACGAAATGTTTGCAGAGCATTAACCATTGATTACAAAGGGGCATGTTGGAAAAGTTACAAGTAAAATAAATAATTCTCCTCACTTTCTGCAGAATTTGAACAACCTCTTACCACACAGACAAGTTTGTTTTTGTCAGGGAGAAATATTTTATTTTTCTGTTACTCATCAGCGTGGTGGTTCACCTCATTATCACGCATAATTGCTTCTTTAAGACTCTCTGACTTTCCCTTCCCGAAAAAAAAGGAGCCCTACTTTGAAAGCTTATGAATTAGTGATTTCAGATAATTATTATTTTCTGCATCATCATTTTGGAGATTGGCATTTTTGGCATAGCTGCGCCTTTTAACTGTTTAAATAATTAAGCGGAGCAGGATCAAATTGCTGAACTTGTACTCTGAGAGAGGCTAACTTGATCATACTCACTTTGGGCATTTTACTGAAGTGATGATCCCCTTCTCACTAAGCCCATATCATACTTAGAGATTATACTGTATCCAGCGGAGCCCCAAGAGGCCGGATAGAGGTTAAGCCTGAAGTTAATTGAGCCTTTGGACTGTCATAACCTGCCAGAGCTGGTCATAACTGGAAGGAACTGAAGAGAAAGCTGAACTCCTGCACCACTCCTCTGCATTTCTTTCAGATCCTTGCCAAAATGTATATTGTGCATCCAAATAATTAGTATGATAGCTCTGTGAAGAGAGCACAAGCTTATAAACCCGTAAAATTTCATCATATTTCAGATGTTTGTACTTGCTTGTGCTTGCTCGCGTTGGTCATATTTTAAAGTAGCATTCAGTGTGTGCCAAAGTGCAGTCAGCCTTTTGTAACTGCAACATCAACATGTTTAACATGGGTTTAGAGGCAATGTTAGTGTGTTAAAAGGGATCTGGCATAGACAGATTAGCAGCCAGAATAGCAGCTTATGGACTCTTCTTTAGAAAGTAGCCCAGAACAATCATCAATCTTACTACCAGCTCACTGCAAAATGATGAGGCAAGGTGAGGTTTTCCTGCCCAGCCTCATGTCACCTCTTTGTCTGTTGGAAAGCTATTTAAATGCAGGTCTATACCTTGACTCATCTCTTCCAGGAATAGGGTAGACAAATCGGGACTGAGGTCAAATGTGCACCTATAAGTGTTCCTTCTCCCGCACCTCATTAACGCCGCTCTCACAGCTTTGAGTTGTGAGATTTCGTGCTAGGCTGTTAGATTACCGGATTAATCCATATGAATCTTTGTGATGTTAACCATACAATATTTGAAACAGCTCACCTCCACCAGTAGACCAAAAGGATGCAGGAAACCTGTTTAGTATTTTACAGAATGCGTGTTTAAAATTATCACATTTTTGTCTTGAATCACGCACACATGGTTTCCCCTTTTTTTGTCCTCGATAATGAACGGCAGCTTTCGCACTAACAGGGGACAGCCTTGTTTTAATTATCCTTTTGGTTACTGAGTGACAGAACGCAAGCCAACCATAGCAGTTGCCCAGCAAAATTACAGCGCAGTCAAACCTAAGCCTTTTTCAGTTGCATTAGAACCGAGGCTGGATTTAGCACAGCCAATCCTGGCTCAGAACATCCACTTTATTTGACAGCCTTGTGGCCCTCTGTGGTGCCAAGACGACGGATCCAACTAACCAAACTCCTTACTTTTCCTCTTTATTATTCTGATTGAATGCAGGTTTTGGAAGTAGAAGAAGAAGCAGTGCCTGCTGGTGCTTTTTCAGTAGGCAGTGCATGCTGGCATAACCCCTGAGATCGAGGTGTCTGGTGGATTAAAACAGACACACACACACACACACTTACAGTAAGGCCATTGCTCCGCCACCAACACTGCAGCCAGGTGTTAACCCACGTGACTGCAGATAAAGCCGGCAGGCATTAGTGCTAATCCCGCCCTGATCTTTGGAATATGTCCCTATTACCTCCACAAGCACTCTCTAGCTGTCCCCAGGCCTCCTGATGCTCACTTAAGAGGGACAATACAAGACAAGGCCTCTCTAGGACTCTCTAAAGCACGTTGTTTCCTTGGAACAACACAGTAGGTGCCTTCCTGCTATTTGTTATCTTTTTAGTACAGGTATTTTTGGGGTGTGTTCAAAGTAGCGCAGAGACAGCCGGTCACATGGGTGGAACTGAGCTGACACACAGCGTGGTAACAATGTTCTGTAGGCAGAGGCCTCGGGTTGAGAGTTGCCAAACACACCAGGGTTAGACCTGTGGACATTTGTAGATATGAAGAAGCGGCAGTGTTATGTAAACTGGATTATCTAGTGTTATGTGATGGTGCTGCTGGGAGTGTGAGTGCGCCCTGGAAGTGAAGTGGGTGTCTGGACGACAATGGAAGGTTAGACTTTGTCTCGTTTCCTACACAAGCCTGTGTCATATGATTTGGGAAAAGTGAAACCACGCAAGTGCTGCCTGTGTGTGTTTATGGTATGTGTGAGTCACAGCCATAGACTGTGGTCACAGCGAGGGAGAGTGAGTGAGTGAGACAGAACAGGCTGTATTTAGGGAATGTATAGGAGCAAATTCTGGTGGTCAGACATAAAAGTTGGTATCCGCTTTTCTCTTGGCACAAAGACGCTCTTCATTCATTTCTCTTCTGTGATCTTCTCTGGCTGTCACACTGCTCTAGATCCAAGCTATCTGAAAAGAAGGCACCCCCTGTCTGCCCGCCTCATTCATAAGTGTTAACCACAGACGCCCCTTATCTCCATTTTCTAGTTCATCCTCCATCGGCTGTGGCATTCTGTTGAGTGTCTCTATCATGGGAGAGAGGGGAGGAAACAAGTGCCATGCTGCTGTAATTACATTACCGCCAGCTTAGCAGCGCCATCGCCACTGACCCAATTATTCCTGGAAAACATCAATTTTATTGTGTCATTTGAAATAATGAGATCTTTGAGTCACAACAAGAGCTCAGTTGAAGGTTGAGGATGGGACTCCAAATGACAAATGCATGCGTCGGAGAATACATAATGTCTCAGGAATGGCTTTGACAGACAGACAGAGGAATTATTGGCGAGGCATTTCACTTTCACGGTTGCCTTAATGATCATCTGACACTGTTTTCACTCTGCTGGTAGCACTTCAGGTGACTCATGTTTGACAGCAAACATCAGGTGCACATTGCATACATCCCTTATTCAATCCTACGCTCGCTAGAAAAACAAACTCCTGAAAAGAACTATCATGCATGCAAATGTTTCTTGTTCTCCCTGTGAATAGATGATATGTGCGTTTGTTTTGGGCCTCACACATTGAACTGGCCTTATCTTTGAACACAGGAGCAGCATGCATGGGCATATCTATACGGATGCTTTGTGAGCATCAGACGTGCGTGCGTGCGTGCGTGCGTGCGTGCGTGCGTGCGTGCGTGCGATGTTCTAGTTGTCTTTGCGACTCATCTGCACTTTTATGTCTCGGCTGGAGGATGGCTTTTCCTTCTGCTGGACGGTCCTCTGGGGTTCCACTATATCCTCTGCACTGTTGCTCTTCTCTGTTTTCTGGAATTTAGCAGCATTTGTCCTCAGGAAGTGGGCTCCTCATTCATGTCTTTCCGTTGCTCTCCAAAGAAAACACTGGTGCCCCTTTCTCGCTATCAATAGCTGTATATGTATTTCCATGACAGTGGGGGGCCAGTGATAGCTATTAGATATCTGTACTGATTAATCACCCGTGAATCCGCTACAAAATGCTCCTTGGCACTTTTATTGGCGCCAATTGACTGCAGATGGGACTAATGGGTTTCTGAGTGCAGTAATTATGACAATCAAAGTGTCTTCAGGGACATGATATAGGTGTTTGATGATCAGGCTTCCTCCTGTGTCAGCGAATGAGACATCTCTTCTGTTCTTTACCAGCTAATTCTTTTATTAAGATGAGCCACAAAGCTAACACGCCACAGACATTAATACTCTCCGGCCGTGTGAAACTGATAACTTCAAGGATGAGTAACTGTTGAAAACTGACCTATTAATAGCACAAGAAAACAATGACCTCATCCTTTGCACGTTATCATAGCAAACTAATTTAGAATTGTAAATGTATCATATCAATGGAGCAGCAGGGTTTCTGGTGTTGAACCAACAGAAGCAAAATGTCTGAGACTTTCCAGGCTTCTATCTGTCATGTCTGTGTCTGTGTGTGTGTGTGTGTGTGTGTGTGTGTGTGTGTGTGTGTGTGTGTGTGTGTGTGTGTGTGTGTGTGTGTGTGTGTGTGTGTGTGGGTGTGTGTGTGTGTGTGTGTGTGTGTGTGTGTGTGTGTGTCTGTCTGGTGATTAAATCCCACAGTGAGAGAGGAACACCATGCAGTCGGGCACCGAGCAGACTGTGTGTCATATGAGGCTGCTAGCTGAAATGTTTGACTTTCCAATGATTACCATCCCACCTCTTCATTGTGCAGAGGCTGATTACCACGTCAAGCGCATATGGAATTATGAGTGATGAGTCAAGCTATGACTGATAGGACTGGTTATACCTGTTTATACTCTGTTTATACCACTGCAACTCAGACTCTTTATATTTTCATTCTGTGGTGTCTAACACGGTCAGACGCTGTGGAGAACTATTGCAATTTGCATATAGTCCTTCATTGTTTCACTTACTTCACTGCATAAAGACAAAATGTTCCTTTATTTTTTGTAAACATTAATGTGATCTAGGAAAAACCCACATTTTTGTTTCTGCTAAACTAGACAACGATATATGCCATTGTTTCCCATTGTAAACACTGCAGGAGCCTGTATATGTACATTACAGAATCCAATCTGGCAAAACACTTTGTGAGGCCGGTCTGGATTTGCTGTTATGCCGTTTCCGGCTCTGGGGAAATGTATTGCTCACTGGTGAGATGATATGAAAGATACAAAGAAGTGAGGTTGTAAAACTTCTCAAATACCTGCGGCATGACATTAAGAAGAGAGGAAACATAAGGGATAACTCCTGCTAAGTGAGTTTCTGCGGCTGCTGCGATACTGATAGGGAGCGGCGGTATAAGATAAAGGGATGTGCAAACACACATGTTGAGACCTCATCATACATAGCATTGTAAATAGGTGTGGTTCCTGTGAGGGGAGGAATGGATTCCCCTCCTTTAAGAGGATGGTTCGGGAACATTTACCTCTGCAAAACAAAAAGTGTTTTCTTCAGAAATGAAGAGAGGAAGCTTTTATTCTCATTCACATCAGGTATTTTGAAATAATACATACACTTCTTAGCGGTTTCAAAGGGCAAGGGGTTGCGAAACTAATCCAGCCTGCCTTCAGTTCAAATAAAAAGATTGCACTTATGTTATTCCCTCTTCAGGCAGCCGCGATTAAACACACACTGCATTCTCATGTGTCAGCAGGAGATGTCAAGCTCTGGATCATGAACCCACTTAGAGTGAAAACAAGCTGACAGCAGAATCAGAAAAAGTAAACTGACAGTAAGATTAAAGCTCTGCTGAGAGAAATGGATTTATCGGGGAGGTCAAAGAAATGTGATGGCACAGAAGATAACCATTTTTTCATTGTTCTCTTTGCTTTTAATGTGACAAGTGAAGGAGATTAAAGGAGTGACTGTGTGAACATGTTTGACATTTGTCCTTTTTTTCCCTCTCTCAACAGAGTTTCAATGCTCCTTGACGTTCTAAGATGAAGTTATGGAAAGGTGTTACTTTTGCCTTTGTGCTCTGTGGCGCAGCCCTGTCCATCGTCTTCGTTAGAAACATGGCCACTATCGGACAGTTCAGACCTAAATCGAAATACCCGTACACGTCTCCATCCTCATCAAGACTGTCCTCATTCTCACAATCAACTTTCAAGACCTCACCGCAATCACCCTCCTCCTCCTCCTCCTCCTCCTCATCAGCAGAATCGGCAGTGAAGTCCCGGCAGATGGGTGGGCCTCAACGGAGACCCCGCTCCGCAGACGAGATGAACTCGGTCCTCTCAGAGTGTAAGATAAACTGTTATTGTCTTCCTTCCCTGTCTGTCTGAGATAAGGTGTCGTGTTAAAGGGCAGTTTGGGTTCAGACAGGAGACATCTCACATCTTACTTTGGTGTTTACAGATCGTGTTTTAGCACCTCATAGTTCATATGGAAGGATGACACTTAACTTTCCCACAGACTCATTTAGTGGCATTCCTCAACTTGAAGCAGCTTCAAGAGATGCAGATAACGATAAGACTCATTGGTAGCTGTCATGACGTCATACAAACGTGTTTTATTCTGTTTGCACATGAGTTTATCCTGCCAACTACTGTATGTTATTGATATCTTTGTGAACCATATCTGATTATTGTTACACAGAAATCAGATAATCCTGCTACCACATGTGTAGTAACGTATGATTTACCTCCTCTCTGATAGTTTCTGCGATGTTCCAGAGCTTCACGGAGGGCGAACTTCGGCATGTGGTCGGCGCCTTGCTGGACAGGAAGAGGAGGAAGAGCCGGCTCCTGGGAGAGAACCAGGCCCGAAGGACTAAAAGAGCGCGGAGGCCCAAGCCCTGCTCTTTGAGGGAGCTGGAGCTGACCGTAAGTGAACTGGGTCTCGGCTATGACAGCGACGAGACGTTGCTGCTGCGCTACTGCAGCGGGAAATGCCTGGAACACCGGCAGAACTACGACCTTACCATGGATCACATGGTGCGGACAGGCTTCAAAAAGAAGGGCCGCAAGGACAAGGTCAGCAACGGGCCCTGCTGCCGGCCCATCGCTTATGAAAAACAGTTTTCCTTCCAGGACAACAAGCACCTCCATCACACAGTACGAAATATGTCGGCAAAGAACTGTGGGTGTGTATGACCCCGAGAAATGGACCTCTTCATGCTGCTCTCAGACACTGTTGGGAGAGTTGAACATGAATGCTGTTTAAAGACAAACTATGGAATCAAATCTCAAGGAAAAGAGGAAAGGAAGGGAACAGGTTCATGGCTGTTCCATGGCGGCCTTTTTCTAACAGGGAGACTTTTGACGTCTGTCAAAACAAATTGGATCCAAATCACGTGGACAGCAAGTGCTGTGATTTTGTGGATTCCATGTAAAGAGACAGAAAATGACTGTTCATACCAAAAAACGTTTTTATTATATTTTCTATCTGTCTAGTAACACTGTAAACTGTGGTACAACAGCGATGTAGCAATGTTGTATGTTTGTGATCTTACATTTTACTAGTTGGCTAGCACATGCGATAGATGAGCTGTGGGTCATGGAGGACTAGATTGCTGCGGCTCCTACACTCCATATTAATGGGCATTCAGTTTAGTAAGTCCAAATGCAGACACTAAACCACCTTTAAGGCAAAAAAAAAGCTCAAGAATTAACTTCAAATCCATAAATAAAAGTTTGGACCATTGACCTCAAGTGTTGTTTAGTGATCAGCTGTCTACAGGAAGCATATCTACCTAAAGGAGTGTTGACTTGTTATCAGCGATCATGACTTTGTGCCCTGTTTCCCTGCTTGCAAGCAATCATCTTACTGATTGCAGTGTTATTATACAAGGAAAAGAACAAGCATTATTGATAAGGAATTTGACGAGTGAAGAAAATCATTTTCCATAGCTCCAGGTTTGCCCCCACATTTAATGATTGTGTTTGTTGATGTTGTGTAGATTATCAATGAGCGCCTGTTTTAAAACACACTCACTTTAGTGAAAATAGATCCCATCTGCTCTCCATTGAAAATCTCATCACACTCATGTTTGAGTCCTTTTTTATACTTTTCCCAAATAGCCCATTATTGTAATTACCCATAATTCTCTGGAATTATTTTCCTCAAAGAATTGCCAAAACACACCAAGTAAATTCAACACGCAAGATGTTTTCTCAAACTTAGATTTGTTAACATCTCATGTCTCCAGTTCCAGGTGATATAACCTTTTTAATATCGTCTCTGGGTGTAATTTATGAACGTTTACACTTTCAGCTGAACTGAGGCACAGGTGTGAAACAAGAACAATGGTTTTAGTGATCAGAAGTGGCAGGTTTTTCTTCTGGCTGACAGAAAACTATGACGTAGAATCAGGATCTGGAAATGTGTTTGCGCCCATCCAATAAACCCTGTAACTTCCTATGAAGCCCACAGTACAGCCTTCTATTGGCCCAATTAAATGCCTCCTTGTTGTAACGCCTGGTAGAACTTTAGGGTAAAATAAGCTATTGTAATTACTTATGAAGCATCTTTTTCACCTTCGACAATCTTTATTTTGTTTTGAACCCATTGCAACTGTTTGCCTGAAGTACGATAAATTATGTTTTTGTTTTGTTTTTCCTGAGGAGCTGCAGAGTGGGGCGCGGATGCGGTGCATCTTATATTGTAGTTTATATTGTATTTATTTGGGAAGTAAATTATGGTTTTGCATATTTATTTAGATTACCACACAGAAACGGGACAGCTTATGATCATTAAGCAACTGTGCCAAAAAATGTTTTATCTAACATTCTATATTGACTGCTGAATAAACATAATTTCAGAGGTATGGATGTTCATCATTTATACCAAACTATCAACCTTTGAGTGAAACAAATATTCTGTACTCAGATTGTATTTAAAATGAATAAATACATAAATAAAATAATACAATTCTTATTATGCGGGATGCTGTTTATAATGTAATAAACTATTATACAATGGGGATTCATGTGGGGAAAGGTCCGATTACACTAAATAAACCATATGGCAGGAAAAAACAATAACACCTTTGACATTATAATATGTGAAGGTTTCTTGATGATTGCTGCTTCACTCAGTGAGCTTATCTCCTGGAAATCATCTATTATACAGCAGCTCAGCCGCCCGTGCTGAACAGCAGTGATGACATAAGCTTAAACAACAGAGCTGTGACCAGACAGTTTGATCCCTCCGGCAGGCGGGAGAAATCATCAGGGACACGTCTGTGACAGCTACTCATTTCAAATGTGTATTAATCCGCAGCTGAAAATAATCCCCAACAAGTGCACTATTTACTGCTATATGAGAAATGTGCTAAAAACAACTGGACGAGCTGTTGTGGGAAATTACTCAAACTATAATTGTGACCCAATTTATTAAAAGTCTTTGATTTGGAACTAATTGCCACAGACAGGGGCTTCAGAAAGTGATGAGGGACAGTGATTGGTTTGGTAATCATTGAGAATAAGAGAATATCAAATAACGCCAACTTTATCCCATCAGTGAAATTACCTTATTCTTAGTACAGTGTGTTTTGGGGATATTTAGAAGATGGCCTTCAGGAAATGTGTTTGTTAAGTTCATCCCCCAAAACATTGTACAAAAGAAAAAGTAAACTTTTCCATGGTGGATGTCAACAAACTTGTTTTTAGCTCCACCACATGGCAATTTTGAGTCAAGCTGAAAGGTTTACATTAGGATTTTATGAGAGAACTTTGTGAACTCTTACAGGAACATTACACTTTCTACAGTGTTTTTTACTAACACCACTGCACCTAGCCATGCAGAATGTCACATGGACTAAAAAAAAATGGAAGTCAATTGAATTGAGTTTGTGCATTACAGCATTGCATTTGTCTTATAACCACAGCTGCCTTGATCTCATTTGAAACTGTCTCAATTATTGCCTTCATTTCTGTTCTTTTTTATTCAATTGCACAGGAAGGAGATGTGCTTGTTTTAGCTCCTCCTACACAGCTTAACCACCAAGGAAACAGTCGTCAATGAGCGAGTCAATCTTACATTTAAAGGTATGGAATCATACTTTGATTGGACATGGAAATTATAAATCAAGTCTGTCAAGATTAATTATTCTATGCTGACATTTAGTCATACAAAACAGATGTATTGTATCATAATTTGTTCCCTATTGGTTCGTAAACCAGGAGCTAACGCTGACACAATGTAATACCTCTTGCTTTAAGGCCATGACTTGTTGTTTTCTTTTCCAAAGGAAAATCCCTAAGACATGTCATAGCAGGTAAGCGCAGGTGTAATAAATGTCAATAATTGTAGCTTCATTCCTTTCACATTTGTCTGATCTTTGGCCAAGGTATTTGAAATGGCTTTCTGGAATACCTAAATGGAGCTTGGCCATAATATAAGTATTTACATCTGGGATTTTCTTGCTAGAAAGAAAGGCTTATTGTAACTATAATTATTGAAATGTACTCTTGGATATCACTAACAGGGAGAAAGTGGAGAGGGCAGATTAAGGGGATGTGGTTTAGTCAGAAAGGCTAAAAGCTCATGACAACTCTTTCAATACGTTTTATAATATACAACAATGTTTAAATATTTGAGCAAGATTTAGTACAAATTGAAGTCAAAACATTAAACACACCAAATGAGTCAGAGGGTTCCCGCGTCATGGCAGCGATAGCTCATATATATACACGGAATATACAGTATTGTTTGGAAAATAATCTTTCATGTGGGGGTAATTCTAGAACAATATTTGTCTGGGGTATATGCCAGGCCTGCAGATGCCAGCTCTCACTATGATTCAATATGAAATACTGTATACTGAAGGTCTAGTGAAGTAACAGTGTATGTTGGAGGAGAGGTTTACATACCGCCCCACCCTAAACCTAAACCAGTATTTCCCTTTGGTGGTAAGTTATCTTAAATGTAACATGTTATTATTGCCATATTTCATCTCCTAAGTATCAGCTATATTAAGCAGGAAAGGCTCCCCCTGGATAATGTTTGAATGAAGACATAGTTGTTGTTTTCTCCAGGAGACACAAATCCTAGAAAACGCAACAAGACTTCCTGCACAGCTCAAACGAGGCCACACCAGCTCTCTTTGGGAGTTTATAGCATGGCTGCAGGCATTTTGAGGTAACACAGAAGTCAACTTGAATTATCTGAGTTCAGAGTCGATCCGAGGCAGGTCACATGTAAAGATTTGGCTGATGGTTGGTCTTGGGTGACTGTTGTATTTTTGCGAGTAAAAAAAAACAAATCTTTTCCCCTTTGGTTTGTATTTGGCCAAGCGGAGCACATGTTTTAGTTTGACTGGGACTTACTGTATCTACTACATGCAGCTGTGTGGGAGAAATGACTTCAACAGTTTGTATTTTAAGCAATTTCATATTTTAAACCAGGAATAACAGGGGTACATGCCCCTCACATCATATGGGCACGCCCTCAGACATTTGGATGTAATGCAATCTAATATATGCAAGAATTTCCCAAACAGTGAACACTTTCTCTCAAGTTACAAGATGGAGAACGATTGGGAGGTATTTCCCAACATGTTGTATTTATATCGTTTTCTTCCTAATTTCTAGGTATTTTTTTTCGCCCGGAGAACCAAAGAATGCTTAAAATGTTTACAACAGTAATAAAAGTGGAACCACTTTACCTCTTGTATATACAAATATTTCCGCTACTTGCCACTGCTGTAAATGGCCTTCAACCAAAACGCCTACACACCCACAGCAAAGAAAAGTGGGACCTGAGGGAAGAAAAGACGGCTAATGAAAGCAACACTAGCAAGGAAATACAACTGCATTAAAACACATGGCAACCATTTTGATCAAGCTATGATAAATCTACAGGAATTCGTGCCACACTTGATCTGTGGTTTGACATTTTCGTGGAAATAATCATTACAGCTATTTGTTTTGCCTGACGTATTTTTCATGGGGTGATAATGGCGGCTTATACCTTGGGCAAGCTGGGTTTATAGACTTCCAAACTGAAAAAAGTGAAACTCTATACCATTTAGGGGCTTAAACGGAACAGAGGAGATGTTAAGCAAGACTGAAGAATCACATTTTACCTATTATCCTCTCCTTATCCTATCCGCTCCAATATCAATATCAGTGTTTGCAGATTTAGAGGAAATTCCCTCAATCTTCATATCAACATTTTTAGCGTGTTTGAGGAAAATAGTGTTGGTGTATACGAGACATCTGTTACTGGTAACAGCACTGACAAGTTGTACAATAAACATGCCAAGATTTTACAACCCCCTCCCATGTCCAGCTGCATATTGGTGAGTTCAGACATCTTCAGAGGGAGATAGATAGCAGGATGGAGGATGCAGCGGTGACTCTGGAGGACCCTGGCAGCCTGACGCTGAGCGAGCAGGTGTTACGCCTCTTCCTGCGCGACTCTCCAAAGATTAACTAACACAATAGTTTTTGGGCATATTTTTTATGTTGTTTGTTTTTGATGAAATTACTACATCAAGACATTGGGCGTTCCTTAACAAGAATAAACAATTTCAAAGTTATGTTGGGCTTTCCATCTTAATTTCCATAAACATTTACAGGACAGACATGTCTTAAGTACAGAGAGGAAACTCCGCCCCTTATACTCCTCCCAATTGGCAAATTCTAGGAAATATGATCAATCTCAGGTTCATAGTTGTATTTTGTGCCTCTACTGTGACATGTCTCCATGCTTTAATGTTGAAAAAGGTATTTTTATTCTCATACTGCCTGCTGCAGCACCTCTTTTCACCCTCTGTCTGAAACCAGAGCCCAGTCTGCTCTGATTGGTTAGCTGGCCGGCTCTGTTGTGATTGGTTAACCGCTTAGAGATGTCCCGCCCCTTAGCCTTTCACGTACAATGTGCTGGAGCGCTAGCCAATAGAAGCCCGAGTGTTACGTAGTGATGTCACTATGTTTCGATTGTTAATAAATGGGTCCAATTGACGCGTTTCAGGCAGGGGGAGTGCGTGGGAGAGAAACTCCCCCTGGAGCGAACTTTGGGATTTTAGCCTTTGGAGACCATTTACTTGCACAAAAACCTGAGGCCTTTTTTCTAATTTAAAGGGGACCTATCATGCAAAATGCACTTTGTGATGTCTTTCATACATAAATATGTGTCCCCGCGGTGCGATTTGCTGCCGATCTGACGTCAATTCGGCAGCGGACCCACAGAAAGTTGCTATCAGAAACAATGCCTGACATGTTTTGGACGTAATCTCGTCTTTGTTTACATTAGCAAGCCTCGCTAACACTCAGAGCTAACCTGTACTGTAGAGCACATGTGTCTAAAAAGCAGGAAATAAAAAAAGGAACTCACCTTGTGATAAACCTGCAAGAGAAAAAGCATTTGAGCTCCATACTGTTTCAGAAATAATCTTTGATGTGGTTTGGAACAGGATGGCGTTTTATCACAGCAGAATTTAACTTTATCTCCGGTAGAATTCTGATCAGGCATTAGCTCCGCCTCCTCTTTTTTTTTTTTTTAAAGCTAAGGACCCAAAATCCACCTGGGCTGCAAAGGAGGGGTATGAGCAGTATGAGGCATGGCTAAAATGGGTGAACTGTTTGGTATTTTAAGCAAAAAACTTCACAGACATGTTTTGTATAGGTATGTTCTATGGGAGGCTGTGGCTCAGTGGACAGTGTGCTGGACTTTGAATCAGGGGGTAGCAAGTTTGAGTCCCACTGCAGTCAGCATGTCGTTGTGTCCCTGGGCAAGACACTTAACCCCAAATTGCTCCTGTGGGGATTGTCCACAGTACTGAATGTATGTAAGTCACTTTGGATAAAAGCATCTAACA